CGAAAATATCGACTGCGTTTCGACGATTCACACTTCCGATTTGCATGTAAAAAACATCTTCGTTCCTCGAAGAAAGTGAATCATTCTGCAAGCGTAACAGTTTGACCGCCACGTCACCCGTAGGCTATTTAAGTATATAGGTTATTTGCATAGAGACGTGAAAATTAATTTGTACGCTAATCTATTATTACATCCTCGTAATAATTGTATTAGGATCCGCAAAACATGCGAGTCGCGTGTGGCAATCAAAATGACGACGAATACAAGATAATGATAGAATAAACTTCCTGCAAAAGACGAACTTTCCATCTGAATTGCAACAAACTCGAGTAAAATAAAAAGAACGAAAACTTGTTTCCCGTTTTAATATTACCATGTTGGTCAGTACGACTGTTTTCACATTTCTCGTTTTACAGTTGCTTAAATTATAAAGGCTCTTTCGTAGACAATGACTCGGCAAATGTTACGATCCGAGCACACATTCTAATAAAAATGACGAGAGGTTTCAATAAATACCACCTTTTCGCCTTTATGAAGCAACGGCATCCCCAAAGTCTTTTAACCCATTTTTACTCGTAATAAAGTTCGCGATGGAAACTGGTTTCTCATTCGCATTTCGACGTACGTGGGCTTTTTCGCTGTTTCGTGTTCCGCTCAATTTCGTTTTAAACAGTCCGAGATCCGCGGACTAGTGATATTACTAGTATAATTATAGACGGACTAATTATAGACAGCTTTTGTACTTTATAACGTTCACGAAAGAAACTAATACGGTCATTTGAATAAGTCATTCAACTTCAGGGTGGCCATGTTGAATTCCCTAATGAGTAGACTGCGGATGTTCAGGGAATTTGCATTTTTATGGCCAATTACGAAGAACCCAAACTAAACCAGAATTTTGTTGTTGCAAGAATGAGATTTCATTCGAATCTTCAATTGAAGATGAAGTTAATGTCTATTTTCGTGAGGAAGTTATATTTCTTAAACGACAAATTGATATCGCGAACCCTCGGAGTCAACGATTGTTCAAAATACAAGAATTTGCAGTGAGCAAGCACATTATTTTCTAGGATTAGTTAATCTAATATATGAGCCGTTTATTTTGAAAGTGGCATAAGTCACTTTACCGTAATGAAAAGTGGTGATTTTTTAATGTTTATACGAAATTATTTATACCGAGGAAAATATCTCTCAGTATCCTGAGATAACAAATACAAGTAAATCTTCTCGAAAAATCTTCTCTTATATATATATAACATAACAAAAGAATTTTGGATTATTATCATATCTACGAATAACGAACATTTCTAAAAGAAATATATTTTTATTAATTAATTATCATATAATTCCCATACCTGACAATTCCCTTAAAAAATGTCTCGCAAAAGAAGAACATTCACAGCTAACCGATTACTTGAGTAAGTGTTGAGTAATTAAATTACGTTACGTGTAGGCAAAAATGAGTTGTGACCCCCAACAATAAGCAGATCCGTGTGATGCAATAAATATTTCCACGGCGTATCCGTCGAACGCCTAGCAAGCATATACAAAAGCAAAATAAAGGTCGGCCGGTTTCGTTTTTCAACACATTCAACGTGTCGTATGCGATCCACACATACAAGGCTCGCCTGAGAAACGTCGTTCATGAAGCAGCGTATACGACTTTGGTAATATAAGATCGTGCGCAGATGAACTCGTTCCCTCCCCCTGTTTAATAGTATCAAAAATCAGTGTGTCGTTACATGAATAAAAGATAGCCACTCGTGATAAAGCCGTTCATTCATGTTCGAACGTTACTGTGTTTCGGCTACGAGACAAAGTCGCTAAAAATTTCTTGAACNGTAATGAAAAGTGGTGATTTTTTAATGTTTATACGAAATTATTTATACCGAGGAAAATATCTCTCAGTATCCTGAGATAACAAATACAAGTAAATCTTCTCGAAAAATCTTCTCTTATATATATATAACATAACAAAAGAATTTTGGATTATTATCATATCTACGAATAACGAACATTTCTAAAAGAAATATATTTTTATTAATTAATTATCATATAATTCCCATACCTGACAATTCCCTTAAAAAATGTCTCGCAAAAGAAGAACATTCACAGCTAACCGATTACTTGAGTAAGTGTTGAGTAATTAAATTACGTTACGTGTAGGCAAAAATGAGTTGTGACCCCCAACAATAAGCAGATCCGTGTGATGCAATAAATATTTCCACGGCGTATCCGTCGAACGCCTAGCAAGCATATACAAAAGCAAAATAAAGGTCGGCCGGTTTCGTTTTTCAACACATTCAACGTGTCGTATGCGATCCACACATACAAGGCTCGCCTGAGAAACGTCGTTCATGAAGCAGCGTATACGACTTTGGTAATATAAGATCGTGCGCAGATGAACTCGTTCCCTCCCCCTGTTTAATAGTATCAAAAATCAGTGTGTCGTTACATGAATAAAAGATAGCCACTCGTGATAAAGCCGTTCATTCATGTTCGAACGTTACTGTGTTTCGGCTACGAGACAAAGTCGCTAAAAATTTCTTGAACATACTAATATCATCATTTTTCGACTCGAAACTAATTTTAACATTTGCAAAATGAAAATCTGCGATGGACATTACGCGCGAGATTTAAAGGACGAATGAGACCTGGCGACAGGTGATGGTTAGCGACCTCGTTGGGTCTTCCGGCTGTCCAGTGTCGAAGGTTATTTATTTATAAAAAAGAAAAAAGAGAGTATGTTTGAAGAAGGCAAACGACCCGACGTCGCATTGCTCAAGAATAGGAAATTTATTCCTCGAGGATCTAGCCAAGGACTGGAGAAGGCGATGCCTTTTGGTGAGAGGACCGTGATTGACCTCTCGGCAATTACTCTGGAACCTTCCTTTGGGGAAAACATCTACTATACAATTTTTATATTATTTCTAACATACCGATATTTCTTATCAATGATGTAATACTGTATACGATAAAGAGTATCTTTTTTCAAACTTTGCTTTACATTATAAAGTTATGGTTCGACACAGTATTTTGCATGTATCATTCTGTTCATTGTATGTGCCACTTGTAATTCTAATAATTCCAATAATTCAATTTTATACCAATAATTGAACTGCGTGTTTCGCACATCTACGATAGCCAAACCAAATGAAATACAAAATTGCTAACAAAAGAACTGAACGTCTATTCGATTCCAGCTTCTCGCAACGACGCAGACAATTTTTTCATAACGAGCAAATTTATAAAAAAAATGAATACGCGAATAAAAGTTCCAGAAAAAAGGCTACACCAAATTAGGCAGAAGCTTGAGGAAGCATCGCGTGACGCCGCTTCCTAAAAACGGCGCAAGGTTCGGGTCGAAAGTCGTGGCTTGCATTCCGAGCACGGCCGATAGAATATTAATTAGCTCATAATTAATATTTCGGGCGTGGAGACCCGTTCTCTGCGCGGCACAGTGTGACGTAACAACGGCGGCTTATCGTACTGACACGATTCGCCTCGTCAATGGCTGGGAAACGGACGAAGAGAGGCACGCGTGGCCTGCGAAACGCGTACCTACGCAACGACCGGCTATGTTTTTTAAATTTTAAAGGGACTCCAACGAGCAGGAGAGAGAAAGAGAGGGAGAAAGAGTGTGTGCGCGTATGTGTGTGAGAGACGCGCGCGTCTCGACGCCCCGTGACGTCCCGCCGCTCTCCACGTCCGAAAATAATCGTAACGTTCGCCGGCGGCGGTTGCGTGCAACTTTAAACGCGCGCCGCCGCCGACGCGACGCGACGTCCCGCAAAACGACCGTTGGGCCTCGTTCAAACCTGTTCGGTATCGGCACTCCTGGCTACAATTGTGTCGTCGGGTAACGATCGCGCCACGGAATTATACGTTTCGTCTATGCGGCCCGCGAGAACCGTGTGCCCCATGGTCCCCCGTGGGCGGTCCAAAAGATCGAAGAAAAATCCTACGTACGTACATGTACCCCATTGTGACACTTGCCAATGCCGATCCACCCTTCGGACTGGTTTCTATCTCTCCTTCCTTTTTCTCCTCAGACCTCCGGCATATCACGAAAACGATACGTTATAGCCGCCGGAGTCTCTCGTTCGATGCAAATAATTGCACGTAGGCGGTCCTCGCGTACGATTATGTAACCGTTAACCGGTAATTAGCGCTTCGAGGGTACCTTAACCCCAAAGCTATGCTCGGGACACGTTGCAAATTAAATTAGATTCCTGCGCGAGTCATCGTATCCCACTTGGGTAACCAATTTTGCGATAAACGTAATTCGGAATGTGTATTTTTAGAGCACCTTTAACACGGTGCCGTTGTTTCGGGCAAACGATATTTTGTAGTTTATGCAAGAACTTGGGAACTTTGACGTTCGTAACATGCTTTTCACGGAATCGGTGAGCATTTCCGGTATGTAATTCTCAATTTTTTGTTTATTCAAAGTATACACTGTAATTAGTAAAATGTTCTAAGCGGGATAGCCGTTGCAAAAGAAAAATAGCTCCGCCTATGGATCATAGAAATAACCATAGATCCTCGAAAAAGTGATATACCAGATAATGAATCAGAAACTGACCAATCATTATTTCTCATTCAATACGAAGGGCCAAGCGAAAGTTACGTTTAAATTCGCAACGAATACCTAACGTGAGATAAAGTAGAATGAACATCGAGCCTAATTCGAGGATAGAATTTGTCAACGGGGACTTGTCAATTCGGTATCGAGCGAAGGTAACGAAAGAGACGACGAGAGTACCAGCGTGAGTAACGATCGGCGTAACCGTTCCTAGAGAAAAGCTCGCGTCGTGGCTGAAAATTCGGAGCGAAATCTAGCGGTCAGCCGGGGACAGATCGGCGGTGACTTTCGGCGGGCCACCTGCCGAATAATTCGGGGAACGTTCTTGGAACGGCGTGGGCGTCGACGGGGGTCGGTAAGTAGTGAAATTTTTGGAAATTCAAGGGCGACACGTGGACCGGAAACGGTTGCTCACCTCTAACATCCACTCGGCGACGATTTTGCGCATGACCGGCGAGATGTCCCTCTGCACACACTCGAAGTAAGAACTGCTTGGAGCGTATCTCTCCTCGGTTTTCAGCAGGTTCTGCAGCACACGGTCATCACACAGTAGAGCGGGATCAGCGTAGGCTCTGCATTCTGTCTCGGTGGTCTCGCAACACAGCAAATCCATGTTCTCGTTGCGTTCCTAACCTCTCGAGCACACAGGCGGCTGCGGCACAGCCTCTCTGTCTGTCAGTCCTCGTCCCTCTCTAGGCTCCTCTCTCTCTCTCTATCTCTCTCTCTCTCCTTTTCCCTCTCTCGTTTCAGCCACGAGAGAGAAAGAGACTCGATCCGTAACACTCGCGAGAGATCGAAGATTCCGGCGTTGTATCAAAGAAGATCGGCCTCTTCCGTTGATTGTCAGCGCGGTGTCCCGTCCCTCGAGCACCGTCGTCGTCGACGTCTACGTCGTAGCCGCGGTCTCACTTTATTCACGTGCCACGTTGCCAAACTGTTTTTCGCCGGCGCGACCAGACAGAGCATGCACGAATCGATCGTAAAGATACGGTGGAAAGAGAGTTCACACAGAGATCCGCACGGGGAAAGACGCTCTTACTCTCTCTCTTCCTCTCTCTCTCTCGCCGGCCGGGGACACTTAAAAACACACTTCACACAAAAATATACTCTGGTATATACGTACACCGGCGAATTTTCCCCCGTGTTAAATACGCACACGTGCACGGTTAGGGCTCTCGCGTGTCTATGTATACGATAGACACGTACAGGACCTTGGTCTCGGGCAATGACTCCCCGTGTATCACTCACCTAGAGGCCGTCTACGCGAAAACAATATTATGTACGACACGAGACACCGGAGAGAATACGCGAGGTGGTCTGGCTGGTCGCCGCGTCGGTAAGGTGTGTAAAAAAAAAAAAGAAACAAAAAGAAAAAGAAAAACAAAAAAGAACTTCCACGACGGTTACGATGATGATGTTCTGTTTCCTTTCATGCACAACACACTGTCGGTCTCCGTTCGTCTCTCCCGTGGTCCCACGGCCGTGTACGTAGAGTCCCCAAAATTTCCTGGAGTCTCCTGCGTTTTTCCACGAACTCGATTAACCTTCGACAAAGCTGCTGCTGCTTACCGTTCACGATGCTGTCGTACGTACCACCACGAATATAACGTCGTGCGTAGCCTAGCTAATAAATAAGAAACTCGTCGAGGAGAGAGTCGTACGTAGGATTCGAATAAATAAGCGTAAATTCGGCCTGTTGCGTCGTGTGTCGCCTTGGCTCGCGAACTTATCGAGTCCACGAATGGCGCGTGTGTATTCGCGGTAGGTCCCCCGGGTCGAGCGAAGGAAACCGTTTTTCCCTTCGTTGTCTCGAGGAAAGTGTTGGCTGCGACCGGATTTAAATGTCCAACGTCGATGCAGAGCCTACCCTCACTCCCCTTCTTACGATCCGACACTGGCGACTTACCAGGTCAGAATACGGCTGCTCTTGCATTTCCACATCGGCCCTCCCGAAGAGGAGTAGGTGCGTCCCCACCACTCGGCGCCAGCCAGTCACGTGGCACACGATCGATCCCTACCACCGGGGCGCCAGCGTGCCACGTGATCCGGGCTTGCCCCCACCGCCTCGTCGACGATGATTGGGGCGCCAGTGCTAGATTCGCATCGTGTAACGAGAACCCCGAACCGTCTAGCGAGCGCAGGGTCGTCGTCGTCGTCGTGATCGTCACCTCCGCAGTCTCTCTCGCCGCCTCAGAGGCCGACCAAGGTGGTTGCTGGCGGTTCCAACTTCTCTCGCACGGTCCGGCTGGATCTTTAAACCGGATATGATTTTTCTAGAGGATCGCGATTAATATGCTTCACTGAATTCTCGTTAATTTTATAATATCTTGTCTTCTGTCTTGTAAGCGCGATCGGTGTTTTGTAGAGTCCTCCGTAATATTTAGGGCGAGGATGTATTTTTCTTTTTGCAAATTTGTCGTAACTAGTATTAATTTTGTTAATATTGAGATTTTCCTGCAGTTTAGCTAGCAGATGCCGTAGAGATTGACAGGCTCGTGATTCAGAATAGTTTCTGAGATGAAAATAGTTCCAGAAATCATGTAGGGTAGTAATTATTGTTTTTTAGCAAAATTAGTTGATTGAGAGAGTAATCAAAATATATGTTTGAATATATGTATTCTTAATATAAAGTATTAGGAATGTGATAAGATAGGTTGACTTCGTTGACAGCGAGCAGCTAAGTCGCGAGTAGTTAAATTACGAGATGGTAGGGATAGAAACGCGACCGTAAGACGTTGTTAAAGCGAGACGATACGGAAGGTACATTATAATAGCATAAATTGTGCAATTCTTAACTTACTAAGTTAAGGATGCGAATTTCTATGAACTATTTAACAACGGTTTTATTTAACGGGTTCTGTTAAACTATATCGATCTTTCGTAGAGTCCAAAAACATTAACAATCTTTGTCCTTCACCGAAGCTCATTAAATTTCTATTTTTTAAAAATTGGTAGCGATAGATTACTATTATTTCTGATATATCGGACAATTAGAAAAGAATGCTTGGTTCAACTTCAAATGAGAAAATATAAACAATAAAAGCTTGATGTTGTTACAGCAATTAATGACAAAACTTGAAATTTATTTCTGTATTAGCCGGAGTAATTAAACACGATCTTATTCGATTGTGTTCGTTACCGTAACGGCTTGCAGGGCCTGTTTCCCTTGGAAAGATGGTGGCCACGTTGAGCTTTTAACAACGTGGCATAGGGTGCCATTTATACGCGCCCATGAGTCGAGCAAGTTCGAAGAATTATGAACCTACTCGCTTTAATTCGATCCTGCTCGCCACCAAACCGTTCTACCTCATTTTTTTGCTGTTAAAATGTTCGATTCTTTGATAACAATCAATTATTTACTCGACCACCGTTTTCGGTTATCAAGTAATCTTAGCTTCGCCGTCCCGAGAAACTTGTTAATCCCTGATAAAAATGGCGTCGGGGAAGACTGTAGAACGAGAATAAATTCCTAGAGGTGTCTCTACTGTATGTGTGAGACCACAGAAAACGAATTTCGTTCCTTCGTTGAGGAAGGTCAACGCAATGATTTCTTCATCAATTTTATGATCAGTCGATCGTTTTTTTATCGAAGTGTTAGACACAAAAATTATTAAAAATAATGGCACAGCACGATACTAAAAGCAAGACAGTAAAAAGGGATTAAGAATATATTTAAAACAACCATTTATCCTCCCCCGTGTCTATAAAATTGAGTATCGAAATAATTATTAGCTTTCCCTTGTCAACGTCTCATTTGCATCCTCGTCACGTTTGAAGCTGCTAGACATCGTTAAATAGCCAGTCAATAGAAACCAGTACCTATTTCATACCATCTCGCCGCATTCTTCGTGTCACGCGACACTAAGGAGGGAAAATTTGTAATTCACCTAAGGTTTCACTAAGTTTTACTCGGTGTTCGTTAAGACTACAGCTGCTAACGTAATATTATTAACTTTCGTTATTTTCTACAATAAAGTATTCCGACTTTATCGAGTTTTGGGTTCGTTTGGTCGATCGTCGAAGCGTTAAATTACTTGAATTCTCTATTATTCTGTATTATTTAACAATAATTATACTTAGTGATCCAAGGCAGACAATTAATTTAAACATTAGCTTCATTATCGATCATTTTCAGTTTGATCATTTTCAATCTTTGTCATATCATCCAGAACAATTCATTGCAATTTCATTCAAATTGAACCCAAAACTGTGCCACGCAACTTAAAATTAACTTCGTTGCTCCATTCGGAACGAACATACAGCTTCGCAGTCTCATTCGGAATGAACTCGAAGCTTCGCCATGTCATACAGAATGAGCTTAAAACTTTGCGAAGGCATTTAGAAAGAACTTCGATCTTTTTAACGGCCATTCATACTGAACTCAGAACTCTGCTATGCCACTGAGAACGAACTTAAGGCTTCGTTATCTCGCGAAGTTATTGCTTGAAGAATCATCCACCTCGTTTAGAAGCAGCACGGTACAAATTTCGCCGGCGAATCGGCGACCCTCCACAGGCAAAAGGGTCCAAGATTCGCTGTTGCCTGACAATCAGATCGAGAAACGCCGGTTCCCGTGCCGTGATCGAACGAGCTTACGTCTTCCCTCGTTTCGCTGAGAAATTCTTGGAGCGTGTATAGGGAAAGTAAGGGCTACTTCCGCCGGATAATTTCAACGGTCCGGGAGAAAGAAACGGCCCGTGTAGGAGTGGGAATGTCCTTCGTGCACGAAACCCGCGGGGTTCTCTCTCTCTCTCTCTCTCTCTCTCTCTCTCTTTCTCTCTTTCACTCACTCATTCTCTGTTTCTCTTCTCTCGTTTGCGATCGCTACACGCTTACTACGTCGCCGTACGTGCAACTTACGCGACCGGATGTTGCCAGCGCGTACCAGACGACGTCGTAACTACCGAACAATAAGTGTTACGCTGGAATACTACGAGCGAGTAAAGAGGAACGGTCTCGAGGACTCCGGATGGGAGGCGTACACCGCGAGCACCGACTAATCAGATAGTCGATTGCTAGGTGCTCTCATAATAGATCGCCGCTGAACGATTAAAGTCAGCTCGAACGAGCAGGACACGCAGGATGAAATACATAGATAAATTAACCCTATGATTCGCTCTAACGAGAGAGATTACTGCTCGAGATTACCTACTCAATTAACCTTTTTTTTTCACACTTTCCCGATTTTTCGACTGGCAGGAGACGATAGGGTTGATGCACCAGCTTCCGCGCCTGTTACCAATTTCCGTGCTCCCGCATTGAAGACGTATGGAAAAGGAAAATACAATAATAATATAATAAAATATAATAATATAATATATATAAAATATATAAAATATATATATAATAAAATATATATAATAATATATAATATAATAATAATATATATAATAATATATAATATAATAATAATATATATAATAATATATAATATAATAATAATATATATAATAATATATAATATAATAATAATATATATAATAATATATAATATAATAATAATATATATATAATAATATATAATATAATAATAATATAATAATAAATTGATGATACATATTTTTTTTTTATTACGTTTACTTTATCGACATGTGAGATTCGGGGAGGGGTATCAATTTATGTAGAAAACTTTCCTTTTTCTATACGTTTTTAACACTAGATTCCACACAACTTCCCCACAAAAATTACGATCTCTCTCGTTAGTTCGTTTATTTAAATCGATTTTATTTTCACAATCCTGGAGCGTTAGATAAATGCGACCGGTTTTGAAATCAGCGTGTCAAAATCTACGGGAAATGATGTACAGTAGAAATTCTCTTATCCGAAAGTTTATTTTTGTAATATTCTGATACCAAAACATTTCTGTTATCTAAAAATTTCATTCAAGTCCTCTACTACGCGATAATGTATCTAAATAATACAACGATTAGATAACATGGGACGTTTGGATACCAGAATATTGTAAAAATAAATGTTCGGATAAAGGAGTCTCTACTGTATAATATAGCATTACAAAAAAAATTCAATTCTATTTGATATTTGATAAACTATAATTTTGTTGGAATATTTGAAGTTGATATAAATTTTCGAGATTGAATATTCATACCACACTCTGTCAAGTTTTTTTTTTTCTAATAAATGTGGATATATTAATTTCTTTTAACTCGATAAAAGAATTAATATCTTTTTTACTCGTTAATTTCTTTTAACTCGTTTTGTATCATTACTGATACAAATCAC